AAATATGCAGTATACAAACTTCAAAGAGTTAAGAAATATTGTCTCTCCTTAAAAGGGATATATTTTTTTCACTCTAAAAAATAAAAAGTCTATTCAAATCCTCATCAGAAGAAACAGATATGTGGAAAAGGAACAACAGGTTTTTGAGGGATGTAAAATAATTCTGCTTTTAAAGAAATATACTGAGCATGTTTCTTCAATAAAATGTGCTCAAAGGTGGGGGATTTTAGAGCAACATGAGTCAGTCACAAATTACTGCTTCTTCTGTTATAGAAAATGGAGATCTAAGAAAATGTTGAGTCACTAACATTCTACAAATTATATAAAGAAAACTGTTACAAATTGTTACAAATTGAATGTTCAAATTCATGAAATTTTATTGAGTAACTCCTTATTTATTTTTAATTTCTACTGAATAGAGTGAATTTTGAACCTTAGGACAAAGTCAGCACCGTTGATTAATACAATTGATTTAAATATATTTATTTAGGGACAGAGGGGAGACACATTTGACATGGCCTTAAGCCACAATCTAGCACCTGGAGTCTTTGTTTTTGCCAAGGGTCTGAATCCCCAAACCCAGTTTGTCATATCTATATGTAAAGACTTATCATAGTAATGAAAGTAGGACAAATATTAACAAGGAAGAGAGTGAGAATTTAATAACTACTAATAAAATGTGATATAAGCAAGTATCAAGAAGAGAACTACATATACTGAGGACATCTGTGAGCATCTGCTTAGTCTAATCAGATCAAACCTAATGACATCTTTACAGAAGGAGACTTTGCTTGGACCATGCCATTACTACTCAAATAATAAATGTCATTCTTCTGGAATTTAAGTACTGGAAATGTATACCTGTACTTATTTAATTTTGCTTACTCTGATCATTTTATAGCAAAATTTTGACATCCATAAGAGCACAAATATTCAATTACTGCTTCATATTTAACAAACCTTCATAATAATGTACCAAATATTTATGATTATTATCAATGGGACAATAAAATTAATGAAGGAAATGTCTCTGAAGTACTTCAAATTATAGAATATAATCTTTCTAAAGAGCTTTCATTTATTGTCTTCTGTTCAGTTATGCTGAGCTAGCCTCACTTCTGAAATGATGGCAAGTAGAGAATCCTAATAACTTTAAAGCCAGAGGGAGTGTCTGCAACAACAAAATAATCACATTGAATTCTAAGTTCTTCCAGCTATGACTTCAAAAACACATGTAGTCCTTCAGTTAAAGTACTGACAAGAGAGAGAGAGAAAGAGAGGAGAGGGAGATGGAGAGAGAGAGGGAGAGAGAGAGGGGCAGGGAGAGGGACAGGGACAAGGACAGGGACAGGGATAGGGACAGAGTCAGAAACAGAGAAAGAGGAGGGAGTGCCTAGGTCTTCCATTGGATTTTACAGAAGCAAATGTCATACAGCTTTCTCTAGGTATCAACTTAAAATATTTTCTTATTAAAATATTTTATTAATATAAGATATTTTTGTATTAGCTGTGTTACTCAAAGCAAATATTAGAGCTGTACTGTATTTATAATTAAAGCTCATGTCCATATGTTTAAATTAGCCAGAACCAATTTAAAAACACAATGAAACATACACATGATCTTATATCCATGCCTTTCTAGTTTCTGTAGGAAGATGTAATGGCCCGTTCTGCTGCTCTGGTCCACGAGTCAGGGCCTAGCAAGAGAGAGAGTGGGGACAGAGATGCAAAGAATGGAAACAAGACAGAGTCTGCAAAGTCTGCCCTGGAGAAGAGACAGAGTCTGCTCTGTTCTCTATGTTTACATCTCTCCTCAAGTCTTGCCTTGAGTCTTGCCTTTAATCTCGCCTTGAGTCTTGTCTTGAGTCTCTCAAGTGCTGGGATTGAAGGCGTGTGCCACCACTGCCTGGCCTTGATTGAAAGGATCAAGAAAATTATCAGAGCGTTCTCAGCTGTTGTAGGCTGTTGAAAATAAGTCTCTTGTCAGGGTATATGGCTCAAGATGGCTGCAAAGATGATAGCTGCTTTCTGCTCAGAGTCGGCTCCCAACAGGAAGAACTTAAAGTGATACAAGTTTGAAGCAGCCAGAGGTCTAAAGTGTGATTATATTAAATACATACATATCATGGCAAACACAACATATCTAAACAATTCAAATTCCCACATGTCCTCTACCTTACAAATGAAGACTCTTGAGGAATTTTTCCATATATAAATGTTAACTCAAGTGATTGTGTCTTGTATCAATATCTGCATGTCTACCCATAACATCTCACCAAAATATTTCCCTCAAAATACCCTAGAGTGATAACACTAACAGAAAGGCTTGAATAGGTAAGAAAAGCTCCATAGACCTCAACTCTACCAAAAGAAATAAATTTTTTCTTTTTTGATGTTTTTTTTAATTTATTTTTTCTCAAATCGTAATTCACTCACACAGGGGTTATAAACACAGAAAGGCAGGATGTGGGGAAGGGAATGACACTGGAGTGCGGGTGTTCAGGGGGAATACAGATATCTTCAGAACCGAGTATCGGCTGGGTGAAGGTTCAGGGGACAAGTCACTATGACTCTGCCTATGACTCGCTTGTCCTTATCTAAGTTGGTATTGTCTGCCCAGGCTACCTATTTCCAAGGTCTATGACTACTCAGGCTTGTAAATTTCCACAAAAGCTGCCTGTTTATATTAGCTTATAGCCATCTGTTTCAATGTTTTTCCACTGAGACCCAAGACTTGGTGTTAGTATACATGTCTGACAGGCCTATTGCTAATTTTAGGCCTATGGCTGATTTTAGGCCTTCAGTGTGTAAGCAGGGCTGCCCCTGACATCTCCTCCCTTCTCTAAGTATAGAAGGGCTGTGGCAATTCTAAACTTGCGAAGGCGAGGATAGAGGCCTGACCTCCAGTATTTGAAGGGGACCTTGTAATGGCTCCAGTCCCCCTGTCATTGTCCAGTGAGGCATGAGGGCCATACCCGTCCCGATGTCTTTTTTCTGGAGAGGGGATACTTTTGACATCAACCCCTATGCAGTCAGGCTTGTCCATCAGGGAACCCAGATAGATATTTTCATCTTTTATTTATATTCCCTTGCACTGCTTAGCCTCAAAGCCTAAGCAAGAATTCAGATTGCCAGTCAGAGGGGGTTCTGGGTGGCCCCTCTATGCTTGGTCTAGGGGCAGAAGTCCCCCCTTTTAGGTTGGGTGGAGATGGGTTTTGGAAACACCCTGTATAAAGTAACAACCTCATCTTGAGTCTCGTGGTCCTCCATAGCTAACTTATGATAATATATCTGAGTAGATTTTGCTACCAAATTATTTATCTGTTGTATCACAGAGTTAGTCTGCCTATTTGAAGCTCAGGGACCAGCAGAAAAAAAGCAAAAAGAACCCAAATAATGGTCTCAAGATGGGAGGAAATAGGGTTGACAACCTTGGAGAGGCTGAAAACCAATTCTTGTACCAGCATTCCTCTGTCTCTTTCTCTCTCTGATTTTTCTTAGGGCCTTCACTACCTATTTCATGCTCCCTTTAACCCTCCTTGTCTTGTCTATGTAAAGGCAACCTTGTTCTTTAAGGGCTGTACACAGTCAAGAGCTGTACACAGCCTTTTCTATTGTAATAGAGTAAATCAAGTCCAATAATTATCTTTGTGATTTTAGGAGGTCTCTTCAGACAGCAAAACAAGGGATTTCTTCAGAAAAAGAAAAGAGGGGGAATGGTACCCCCTCAGAAAGAGTCCCCCTGAAATACTCTCCATCATGCCTTGTTCACTTTTACCTCTCTAAAACTGAAAGCTCATGGCAAATCTGCTGCTGACTACCTCTGGCACCACCGAAACCAACAAAACTTTGCCACAGATATGGGGAAGGACCCTCTTACCCTTAAAGGGAATGGCCCAGACCCAGTTCCCTTATGGGGCCGAGGATTGATATGCCTGTCTGATACCACAGAAGGCACAGCTAACCGACTTCCAAAAAAGATTAATGAAAAAAATAGATACTCCCACAAAGCCAGGCCCAACCATAAATACGATGAATAGCAATTTACATCCAGGGAAGAGAAATTTCCCTGAGAATCCCCTTCTTTTTCCTTTCCAGGTAAAAATGAATCACCCGTGATGTCTGCTGTTAGAAGTTCTAATCCAGATGCTGGCCTCCGTACTTACACTACTCAGATCTTTGAAGGGCCACTGACAAGAACATCAAACAGCTAGAGATTGACATCACTAATCTGAAAAAATACATATTTATAATTAATATTACTCAGACATAGGAGATAGCATCTATATATTATATATACACATATTTACATCTTTACTATACATATAAACTATGCATACAGTATATATACATATATGTATATGTATATATATATAAATTAGCAATATTGTATATGTACATTTATATGTACATATGTACACACACACACAGATATATGTATGTGTGTGTTTATTTATGCACATTTTTATATTTCTACTATATATATAAACCATATGCATACTGTTTATGTATACATAAGCAATATGGTATATATCCGTATACATATAGATATATATGTACACACACATATACACATATACAGAGAGAGAGAGAGAGAGAGAGAGAGAGAGAGAGAGAACTGGTAAAGAGAAGAGCCATGGTTTACAGAGAAACTAAAGAATTGGAAATATTAAATATTTTGCATAAAAAAGGATATAGGAAACTGACAGAATTTCAGTACAATTACATTAATAAACACATTTTTAAAAATATCTCAAGTATATTTCAAATCTAGAAATATTGTATTTATTAGCAATGTGTGTTACAACTCAATAAAATTAAGACATAATCTCTTACAAACAACCTACAAGAATGACAAGGTTAAAGAGCTTATTTTGCCTTTTCATTGAGACAAAGTCCATTTGGAATAGAGTTATAGAGTGACTAGTTGATTGTACAAAGTTGATCAATCACAAAATCTTGATTCTGGGGATGCATTATAAAATCTCTGGACTGCCTGATCACTCCTGTGCCAGTAAGAAGGATCTCCATGAATCCAGTTGTGGTCTTGGTACTCAGTCTTGCATTTCTTCTTCTCCTCTCATTGTGGAGACAGAGCTCTGGAAGAGGAAAGCTCCCTCCTGGCCCAACTCCTCTGCCAATTATTGGCAATTTTCTCCAGATTGATTTGAATGACACCTCCCAATCCTTAGCCCATGTGAGTATGCCATATGTTCTTCAGGTATACTGCGAAGGGAGACATAAATCATGCTGCTTTCAATGAACTTATATTACTGGAAAAAATACTGTCAAAATGAGTATCAAGTCAAAGACTGTAAAGTTTTATGTTTTTTTCTTTTATTTTTCCTCTAATTCTGGTTAGGAAATAAGTGATGTTCCAGGTTTCAAATTCAAGAACCTGGAAAACAGGAGTGTGTGTGTGTGTATGTGTGTGTGTGTGTACATGTGTGTGTGATGTGTGTGTGTGTTTGTGTATACATACAGAGAGAGAGAGAGCAAGAGCAAAACAGAGATCAAGAGAGAGAAAGAGAGAGAGGGGGGAGGGAGAGAGTACCTCCCATGCCAGTTGTCCCGAATCTTTGTAGCCTCAAGTATCTCAAGGGTTAAGTGCTTCTTTTTATATTGAGGCTAAGCCAGGCATTCCTCTGCTGCATATGTGTCAGTGCCCCTGAACCAGCGTGTGTATGCTATCTGGTTGGTGCTTCAGAGTCTGAGATATCAATGGGGTCGTAGTTAGTTGAGGCTGCAGTTTTTCATATGGGGTCACCCACCTCAGCTTCCTCCAGACTTTCCCTAATTTAACCACTGGGATCCCTGTCATCAGTCCATTGATTTGGGTATAAGTATGTGCACCTGTCAGAGTCCTCTGCTTGTTGGGACTCTCATTCAAAACTTTGTCTTCGTCTTCTTGAAATATTATTTTCATAATCATTTTCTATTATTTTGAATGAAATTAAGAGTAAGGACTATTTCATTACATGACTCAGAATTTTATAGTGAATTGTTCTTGGATTTGATATCAGTGCTATACTGTGAAGAATTTACTGGTGTCTGACTTGAAGTAAATCCCGGGTACAAGATCTCATACAGGAAATAAAGCCATAATCAATGTGTGGTAGCATATGTGGTCTTTTCCCAGTCAATTTTTATTCCATTCATAGTCTGTTACTTGACCCTAGAATGCTGATTAATGAGAATGGGATTTCTCTGAGATCCTATATGCTATGGCACACTTTGTATGATGCCCACCCTATGTATATTTGTAACAATTGATGAGAATGGAAGTCAAGAATTTGTGGTAATCTAAGGTTGTAGATTTCTACTCTTCATCACTAGGCTCTCTAGTTGTAATTGGAAGTTTTTCCCAGCTGGTTCTGCAGCATTAATCTGACTATTGAAGTCAATTTCAGTATGAAAGTACCATGAAAGTCATCCTCAAGTATCTAATTATGAATAAGCAGAGTGTTAATTTGGAGTCTACTTCATTGTAATAGAATGATGGAAATAAATGTGAATATTTTACTACAGTTTCTTCGTGTTGTATGATTAATATCTTAGTGTGATAATTCTCTGGCTTTAGTGTGTCAACATTTTGTGAGATTGTTGTTACACTGTAGACGATTCATATACAATAATCATCATAATTTAACTACTTATACAGACTTTAAACTGTGTTTTTCTGAATAAAAATATTATAACACAATGCTATCATCAGGCTTAATAGATTGACTCTATATGAAAAATACAATGAAAATTTTTCACTAATATTTATGCTTGCTACTTCTTTCCAGTTTTCTAAAACCTATGGCCCAGTGTTCACAGTGTATTTCGGCTCACAACCTACTGTGGTATTGCATGGCTATAAGGCAGTGAAAGAAGCCCTCATTGATCATGGGGAAGATTTCTCTGAAAGAGGAAGGTTCCCAATTTTTGATAAGGTTTCTAAAGGCCACGGTAAGTGTGTGTGAGTGTATGTGTCTGTCTGTGTGTGTGCTTATCTGTATTTTGTGCAGTTTCTAGAGTGCCCTGAAGGTGGAAAGTATGCCTTCTTTTCAGGAATAGATTGGGACTTTTCTATGGCTGCCACCTGTTTTCTCTTCCTATTTCTGGGATTTTCAGTGTCTGGTCCAATTTTTCTTTCTCTTTTTTTTATTACTTTAATTTATTCTCTTTTACAAATAGTAGTCTGACTGCCTACAATTACTCATCCTATTCCTCATTCTTCATGTCTCACAGAGGATATCCTCTGCCCCCTGTACTCCAACAGGCCTCCCCAATCCCTGGGTCTTCAAGTCTCCAGAGGGTTACATGCCTTTTCTCCCACAGAGGTCCAATCTGTCAGTCCTTTGATGTATACATGTTCAGGGACTTGGAACAGCTTGTGTATGCTGCCTGATTGGTGGTCCACTGTCTGAGAGATCTCAAGAGTCTCTGATATTTGAGTATAGTGGTCTATCAATGGGGTCACTCTCCTCCACATCTTCTCCACACTTTTCCCTAATTCAACTACAGGAGTCCTGGACTTCAGTCAAATTGTTGGGTGTAAATATCTGCATCTCTTTGTCAGCTATATGCTGGGCCTCTCAGATGACAGCCATGCCAGTATTCTATCTGTAAGAACACCATAAAATCAATAATAGTGTTTGGCTTTGAAGATCCCCTTGAGATGGATCATAAGTTGCACTAGTCACTAGACCATGTTTCAGTCACTCTAATGTCCTTTTTTTTTCTTGCAGGTCTCTTAGACAGGAACAATTTTGGGTCAGAGTTTTGACTATGGGATGGCAAACCCTTCCCTCCACTTGAAGTCATGTGTTTCTCCTGGAGGTTAACATTATAAGTTCATTCTCCCCAAAGTTCAGCATTTCATCTAAGGTCACACCTTTTGAGTCCTGAGACTCTCTCGTCTCCAAGGTCTTTGGTACATTCTAGAAGATCCTGTTAACTCCCACCTCTCAAAGTAATATATTTGCTGCCCTGAGAGCTTCTCTCCTGTGTCCCCCACAAACCTGATCACGTTTGCAGTTTCCCATACCCCTACTATCTTTCACTGAGATCCATCCCTCCCACTGGTTCTTCTGATTGGTTTCTTCCTCCCAAGTGGGATTGAAGCATCCTCCCTCAAACGTTTCCTCTTGTTAACCTTCTTGAGTTATATGGATTGTATTCAAGGTATTCTGTACTTTTTTGGCTAACACCAACTTATGAGTGACTACATAATATTCATGTCCTTCTGCATCTGAGTTACCTCACTCAGGACGGTGTTCTCTATTTCTGTCAATGTGCCTGCAAAACTCATGATGTTCTTGTTCTTAATAGAATGGAATAGAGTAGTATTCCATTCTGTAAATGAACCACATATTCTGTATCCATTTTTTCTTTTTGCAACAGCTGGGATTTTTCTGATTCTTGCTATCACCAATAAGTCCACTATAAACATAGTAGAGCATTTGACCTTATGGTATGGTAGGGTATCTTTTAGATATACATCCAAGAGAAGTGTAGCTGGGTCTTCAGGTAGATCTATTTCCAATTTTCTGAGAAACGTCCAGATTAATTTCGAGAGTGGTTGTACCAGTTTACAATCCCTTCAGCAATATAGGAGGGCTCCTCTTCTCCACATCCTCACCAACATGTGCTATCACTTGAGATTTGATATTAGCCTTTCTGATTGCAATAAGGTGGAATCCCCGAGTCATTTTGATTTGCATTTCCCTGACCAGTAAGTACTTTGAACTTATCCTTTATGTGCTTCTCAACCATTCAAAACTCCTCTGTTGTGTATTCTCTGTTTAGTTCCATAACCCACTTTTTATTGGGTTATTTGGTGATTTGTTGGGTAGCTTCTTGTGTTCCTTGTATATTTTGGATATTGGCCCTCTATTAGATATGGGGTCAGTAAAGACATTTTCCAAATCTGTAAGTTGCTGATTTGCCGTATTGAATATGTCCTTTTCCTTACAGAAGATGTTAAGTTTCATGAGGTTTCATTTGTCAATTGTTGATGTTAGAGCCTGAGCCATTGGAATTCTGTTTAGGAAATCCACCCTACCTTACCCCCAACCACATGCCAATGATTTCAATGCACTTTCGCACTTTCTCATCTATTAGATTGAAAATATCTAATTTTATGTCGAGGTCCTTAATCCACTTAAACATGAGATTTGTGCAAGGTGACAAATAAGTTTCTATTTTCAGTTTTCTACATACTGACTGTCAGGTAAATCAGCACCATCTATTGAAAATGCTTTCTTTTTTTCATTTTATATTTTTGTCATCTTTGTCAAAGATCAAGTATGGGTTTATTACTGGGTCTTCAGTTCTACTCAGTTTATTGACCTGTCTTTTACCAGTATGCTGCTGGTTTTATCATTGTTGCTGTGTAGTAGAGTTTGAGATAAGACATTTTGATTCTCCCAGAAGTTATTTTATTGTTAAGAGTTGTTTTTGCTATTCTCGTTTTTTTTTTCATACGAAATTGAAAATTTCTCTTTCCATGTTTGTAAAGAAATGAGTTGGAATATTGATGGGAATTGTATTGAATCTGTAGATTGCCTTCAGTAGGCTGGCCATTTTTACTATGTTAATCATACATATCCATGAGCATGGGAGATTTTCTCATTTTCTGTGGTTTTCTTTGATTTCTTTCTTGAGACATTTGACATTTCTGTTATATAGACCTTTCACTTGTTTGGTTAGAGCTACATCAAAAAAGTTTATATTATTTTTGACTATTGGGAAGTATATTGTTACCCTATTTTTTTTCTCAGCCTGCTTAACATTAGTTGAATATGGCTACTGATTTTTTTGACTTAATTCTATATTGATCCACATTGCTGAAGTTATTTATCAGATGTAGAAATTTATTGGTTGAATTTTTGGGGTTGCTCATGTATGCTATTTTAACATCTGAAAATAATGGTATTGTCACTTCTCCTTTGCCAATATGTATTCTCTTGTTCTGCTTTTGTAGTCTCATTGCTTTAGATAGAACTTTGAGTACTATATTCAATATGCAAAAATACTCAGTTCTCACAAATTGAATCTAATAGCTCATTAAAGCCATTATTCACCATGACCAAGGAGGCCTCCTCCAAAGAATGGAGGTGTATGTCAATATACAAAAGTAAATCCATAAACTTGAGAAACTACATAAATAAACTCAAGGAAAATGTCACATGATCATTTCATTAGATTCAGGAAAAACCTTTGAGAATATACAAACTCTGTCAGGTGACAAGTCTTGGAGAGATCTGGAATTCATGGCCCATAGATAAATATAATAAAAGGAATATATAACAAAACAGCAGCCAACACCAAATTAAATGGAGAGTGACTACAAGCAATCCCACTAAATCAGGGACAAGAGAAACTCTCTTATTTCCCAACTACCACATCAAGTTTTAGCTAGAGCAATTGGACAAGGAAGGAGACCAAAAGAATACATATTGGAAAGGAAAAAAGTCAAAGTATTATTATTTGCAGATATGTTAGCATACATAATAGACCCCCAAAATTTCACCAGAGAACTCCTACAATTTGCAAACAACTTCAGCAACATGACTAAATATAAAATTAACTAAAACAAACAAGTTGCCTTCCTTTATACAAATGATAAACAGGATAAGAGAGAAATCAGAGAAACAACATCCTTTACAATAACCATAAATAATATAAAATATCTTGCTGCAACTGATACCAAACAAGTGAATGATCTGTATGATAAGAACTTCAGAGCACTGAAAAAAGAAATTGAAGAAGAACACAGAATATGGAAAGAGCTCTCATGGTCCTGAATTGGTAGCATAAATATAGCAAAAATGATGATCCTCACTAAAGCAATCTACAGATTCAATGAAATCACCATAAAAATGCCAACACAATTCTTCACCTACTTGAAAAGAGAAATTCTTAATATGGAAAAATAAAGAATCCAGGATATCCAAAATAAACTCAAGAACAAAAACCCTTCCAGGGGAATCAACTTCCCTCACTTCTAGCTGAACTACAAAACAATAGTGATAAAGATCACTTGATATTAGTACAAAGATAGACAGGTCAATCAAGAGAATAGAATCAAGAATCTACAAATAAACTCGCATATCTAATGTATGTACACTTGATCTTTGGCAAAGAAGCCAAAACCTTACAGTGGAAAAAAAGAAAGCATCTTCAAAAAATGGTGTTGTTCTAACTGTTTGTTCGTATGTAGAATAATGACAATAGATACATATTTATCTCTTTGCACAAAGCTCAAGTCTGAGAAGACCAAGTACCTCAACATAAACCCAGATATACTGGATCTAAAAGAAGAGCAAGTGTGAAGGAGCCTCAAGCTCATTGGCATAGGAAAATTACCTACACAGAATACTGGAAACTCTGGTTCTAAGATCAACAAGGGATAAATGGGACCTCAGGAAATTGTAAAGCTTCTGTAAGGCAAAAGACACCTTGAATAGGACAAATTGGCAACACACAGATTGGTAAAATATCTTCCTTAACCCTACATCTGACAGAGGGCTAATATCCAAATTATACAAATTTTAAAAGTTAGACTTCATAACCCAACTAAAAAATGAGGTACAGAGCTAAACAAAGAATTTACAACAGTTTATTCTTGAATAGCTAAGAGACACTTAAAGACGTGCTCAAAATCCTTAGTCATTACGGAAATGCAAACCAAAACAGTCATGAAATTTCACTTTATAGCACTCAGAGTGGCTAAAATCATAAACTCAAGTTACAGCACATGGTTGCAAGGAAATGGAGAAAGAGGAACATTCCATAATTTTTGGTTTCAATGCAAACTGGTAGAACCACTCTGAAAAATCAATCTGGGTGTTCCTCAGAATTTGGAAATAGTTCTAAATGAAGAGGCCCTATACCACTTCTGGGCATATACCCAAAATATCTGGGATCATACTACAAGGACACATGCTCTGCTTTGTTCAAAGTAGCCTTATTTATAATAGCTAGAAGCTGGAAACAACTTAGCTATTCCTCACTCAAAGAATAGATGCCATTCAGCTATTTTAAACAAGATTATGAATATTTTAGGCAAATGGATGGAACTAGAAAATATCATTCTGATTGAGGTAACTCAGACTTAAAAGGATATACATGGTATGTACTCACTGATAAGTGAGTATTAGCCAAAAACTACAGAATCCCTAGGATATAACCTACAAAACTTAAGACATTAAAATATATCCAAGTGAGGATGCTTAAATTCTCTGTAGAATTGGGAACAAAATAATCAAGGGAGGCAGAGGGAGCCAGGTACCTTGTTGAAAGAGAGAAGAGGAAGTTGACAAAGGGGAACAAGAGCAGGTATGGGGGTGGGAACTGGGGAGAAGTCCAGAGGGCATGGAGAATGAATAGAAATACAAAGCCCCAGGGAATGGGAAGTTGTGTTCTTTTACTAAGTACCAGAGCCCTGGGAGGTAAGAGACTCTCAGGTCTCAGTGGGGGTTTCCTTAGCAAAAATATCCAGCAGTTGCCAGAGGAACTTAAAAGAGTTCACTTCCAGTAGATAGACAGGGCCTCAAGTGGAGGGACAGCTACAAATCCACAGCCAAAATTTCTGACCCAGAATTTTTCTTGTCTAAAGAATGACAGGTATGAACTTGGCAAAGAGACTGAAAAAAAGGTGATCCAGTGATCTGTCCAACTTGAGATCTATCTTGTCAGGGTGGAAAGCACCACAGCCTAACACTATTACTTAGCCTATGATGTGCTTATAGACAGGAGCCTAGCATGGCTGTCATCTGTGAGGCCATTCCAGCAGTTGACTGCAACTAATGCAGATACTTACAGCCAACCATTGAACTGAAGTTTAGAACACCTCTGGTTGAAGGACTGAAGAAGCTGAAGAGGAGGATGATCCCTTAAGAAGACTAGCATTCTCAAAGAGCTCTGAACCCTGAGAGCTTCCAGTGATTAAGTTACAACCAGACAACAAACTCGGGTTGGTCCAAGTCTCCTGACATGTATATAGCAGAGGACTGCCTGGTCTGGCCTCAGTGTGACCAGATAAGCCTAATTCTCCAGAGACTTAAGGCTCCAGGGATGGGGGAGGCCTGGTGGCTGGAAAGAATACTTTTGGAAGCAAGAGTAAGATAGAATTGGATGAGAAACTGTGGGGGGTGACCAGGCTTGGGGACAATAACAGTACTATAAATAAATGAAATAATTTAAGCAAACAAAGAAAAAAGATCTATATGAAACTAAGGAGTGCTGCGAGTAGGAGAGTCTTCTCCAGGGAACAGTTCACAAATTGGTTAGCAAATAGTAAATGGCCCGTGGAGAAACATACATTAAAAAATGATATAATACAAAATTTGCAGTTTGCTGTGTAGTGTAAGATCTCCTGCTGTCGGAGTGCTTTTGTGATCCCTCGCCAGTCTCACATTTCAAAGGACAACTCTCCTCTCCCCTCTCTTCTCAGCAGTAAGAGCGAACTGAGAGAGCTGAAACACTTTTCTTCCATGGGCTCTCATGAGCTACCCCCGGAAAGAGAGAACTAAAAGAGCCGATAACACTCTCTCGCTTTTGGAGACTGGGACGGAGGTCCCACTCCGCCGAAGGCTGCCGTGGAGCAGGAGCCCCGCTGTCCCGCCGGCTGCCGAAGGCTCTGGGCTGGCTCGGCCGGCGCCTTCCACGCCCCCAACCTCAGAGTCTGTCCGCCGGCCCCCCATGGGCCAGGCCTGGAGCGGACGCCAGCCACTGACCTTGGTACCCTACGACGGTTCCATCAGCCGCTCTTCCGGGTCTTGTTGCACTTCTGCTCGTGCAGGCACGCCAGCCTGCGATCCCTAGGCACGAGCAGTGCCCGACAGCAGTTGGTGTTATATCTTAAGAAGTACACACACACATACACACACACACACACACACACATATATATGAATCATTAATGAAGAAAGACAACATACACCAAAAAAAAAAAATCAATATTATACATGAGTTTTAAGAGCCCCATTTTCAACAAACCTGACAAAACAAGACCACTGTTATAATAACTTGAGTATTCTGGGTGTAGCCAACCACTTTCCTAGTGGATTTAAGGCCCTATACCTATATACAGGTTAGGACTCATACCTAGAACTATTTCTAGTGGCAAGATCCATAGATACTGTGAAAGAGCCAGTTACTACTATTTTTACAAAACATAGTACTTAACAGATGCCTAAAGAAACAAATTAATTTTATTTAAACAAACAAACAAACAACAACAACAAACATTGAATGACAACTCAGTGACTCACAACCATTCCAGTTAAAAAGACTAAGAAATCGCAGAGTTTTTAGTTCTGAGTGGGACTTTTTTTTCACATCCTCACTTTCCAACATGCAGGAATTACTGCAAAATGGGAGGCCAAAATGATTACAAGAACCAAAGGTGATGGAGGACTTCAAGGAAATAATGTTATCAGAAAAAAAGAGACAATAGCATATATGAACTCATAATTTTGACAGAAAGTACAAGGCAAATGTCGTTAAAGTTAGACAAAATGAGAGCAAGTATGTGTACAATGAGGGTGATTGCACTCTGTCACCACTAGCTGAGGAGCTCCTGGTAATTGATAGCTTCCAGAAATAGTATAATTGGTTTTCTTTAAAGGTATATCCTTTATTAGATAAAACACTACATACTCAAGAATATGTATTGATCTTGACGGGTTAAAAAAATGAGAATGGAAAGTTGGCGGTTCTCAAATGAAGGGTTGATATGTGAGAAGTCAAAGCAGGTATGAATGTGATCAAAATGTGTTGTATAAAATTCAAAGAATTAACAAAATCATTATAAAGGAACCACCTCTTGCAGGGATTTATTTCTTGCATTATTGGTGTACAGCAGCCACTGGAAACAAAGATAAACTGAGAAGAACAACCATTGTTTTCATGTGTAAAATGGTGCTGTTGTTAAAGAAATATACATAATGCATTTATTGAAAATAAAGTGTGTGAATTTGAGTGAATAAAGAGCAATGTGTATCATCCAGAAAGTACTGCTTACTGTGTTGTAGACTACAAAGAGTCTGGGTCACTGAAATTCTACAGATTATAAAAGCAAACATTTCTATACTCCATGCAATAAAAAAGTGATGACAATATTGACCAGATCCTTGTTAATTTTTTAATGCCTTTTTAGGTAGGTATTGAATCATGGAGCAAAGTCAGTAATTGTAGTGGATATAAGTGAAGGTAATGTTTCTGTGCAGGGAAAGAGGTGAGGCTCAAGTTCTCCTGTACCATCTTCAGTCTCTGGTTTTGTCAACATTATGAATCTACAAAACCCAGTTATTCATTCATAAGTGGGAATAATATTTCCTCAGAAAGAAATTGAACACACATAAAGAAGGAAAAGGAAAACTGACAGAAGCACCTCAGGAATGTGATAATAGCTTTACAGAAGGAGTCTTTAATTGAACAATGCCATTACCAATGAAATAATACTTGTCAATTTTCAGGTAATCAAGCCCCTTTGATAACTGTCCCCAGCCATTCAGTTCTGCAAACCTTAGTCATTTTATAGGAATATTTTAATATCTATAAAACTCATGCTGTATTTTGCCTATAGTAATAGATTGCATTAAAATATTCATTATTGTACAGCAACTGTTTTTAATCCTTAAAGAAAAACAATAGAAACTTATCTGGAGATGTATCAAAGGCTATCAAAGGGATGTATCAAAGAGATGGTCTTATCCCTCCTCCCTGTGATTCTATGAGGGTACACATCCACCCACTCCTCCACTCCCTCCTCCCTGCCCTGTCACTTGCCTCCACTAGGGCATGGAGCCTTAACAGGACAAAGGTCTTCTCCTCCCATTGATGCCTGACAAGACTACCTCTACTACATATGCAGCTGGAGCTTTAAAAACTATCTTTTGCTCAGCTATGGTAGGCTAGGCTCCCTTCTGAAATAGTGAGACAGGGAAAATCTGATTACTTTGAGAAGCTATGGTAAAGCCAGAAGTATCAGCAACCATGAGTTAATCACACTGAATCTTGAGTTTGTTCAGCTATGAGCTGTTAGACACTGGCAGTCCTTCTGTTAAACTGCTGCAGATAGAAAAATACAGTAATTTTCATCTTCCACTATTTGTTTCCACAGTAGTAGAAGCCCTGCAGTTTTCTCTATATTATAACTCCATATATCTTCTTACTTAAAACTTTGTAACTAATGTAAGAGAGTTATTGCTTTAGTTATGTAGCTCCAAATATAAGCTATGGAGTTGTAAGGATTCATTATGCAGAATGTGAGTAAAAGTGCTTGTTTTACCAGAACCACTTTAAACTTTAACATACAAAACGTAATGTGTGAACATATTTTTAGTCATAGGAGGAAACAGAATAAAAGAAATGAGTTTGAAGCCATCAAGAACTACACAGGAAGAAAAACAAATATAAATAAAACATAAATTCCTCCATGAACACTAACCTGAGAATAAAGACTTTTGAAGAATTTTCACTCATTTTAAAGTTTACTAAAGTGATTTTATCTTCTAGGAAAGGCAGATGCTAAATCCATTGTTTCAACAAAACTTCTCTCTAAACTTAATGTAGAGGACAGTAGCAATGGACACACTTGCATGGGAAGTAAAATGCTCAACTCTATGTGAAGCACTTCAAGAAACTAAGGAAACCTGGGAGGTGAAGAAAAAGTTTTCACGAAGAAAGAGTACAACCGGTTATCCAGTTTCAAATGGTTGACCCTAAAAATGTGCAAACAGTCAACATTGTATAGATTCGTCATGCTGTATTTGTATCTTTAGTAACATATATATGTATACAAACATGTATGCAACAACCATTAAGGGGAAAACAGGTCATGGAAATGGAAGAAAACAAATTAAAAATATGAGAAGTTTAAGATGAGGAAAGGAAAGAAAAAGGAGATAATGATACTGTAAATCTCAAAAATGAAATAATTTTAAGATTAAAGTATTTTCAAGAAACATTGATATTGTAAACATTTTTTATTGCTCATATTTATCAGCAATATTTGATCACCCACAACTCAAGAAAATTAAGGTAAAAATCTCTTATAGGCAATGCATGAAGAACAAGGTAAAAGAAGTTCTTATTTCACTTACTATTTAGCAAAATGTATTTAGAAGAGAGATTAAACAAGGTTTGATAAGTCAATAACATCCCAAATAGGAACATGTTGGACTCTAGCTGTACTACAAAATTTCTGCCCCAAATTACAGCTGTGTCAGTAAGATGCATCTCCATGATCCAGTCCAGGTCTCTGTGCTGAGCAGGATTTGTAGTGAGCCTGAGGGTGGAAAGCAGAGACCATGGTTGCTCCTGCAGCACATTATGAGATTCTGTGGTTGCCACCAGGCGGCGGCTTTTCTTCTTCTTCTTCTTCTTCTTCTTCTTCTTCTTCTTCTTCTTCTTCTTCTTCTTCTTCTTCTTCTTCTTCTTCTTCTCCTTCTCCTTCTCCTTCTCCTTCTCCTTCTCCTTCTCCTTCTCCTTCTCCTTCTCCTTCTCCTTCTCCTTCTCCTTCTCCTCCTCCTCCTCCTCCTCCTCCTCCTCCTCCTCCTCCTCCTCCTCCTCCTCCTCCTCCTTTTGGCTTTGGGATATACTCTCTATTGGCTGTTCTTATATTTTTAGGCATTGCATTTAGAAATGGAAATAGATGGAAAGATAGCAGGCATTTTGTACTCATAACCCTGTAGAATTTAGGTGGAGAATTGGATCAGCAAGGATCATGTTCAAGAGAAAGCATAGTGCCTTGTGGACAAACAGGAAAACCAATAGTAAGTGCAGGTTTAGAATTTGATATTTACTTCATCTAGGTATGGCTGTATGAATGATGTTGTTACTATCCTATTTAAAGTATTTTTCTTATGAGACATATAGGTCTTATGTTAATGTTCAAATGCATTGCCAAACCATACAGTCCCCTTAGCATAAATGTTACTTAAAACTTCTATACCATTTTAAAATACTGAAAAGGGCAAAGTGTCATCTTCTATATATATTTTGATGATATTTTACCATTATTTCCAATTCTTCAGGCTCACTCAGTGTACACCTTCATCCTGGGCTGTGCCCCCTGCATTGTCATCTGCTCCATAATGTTTGAGAATCATTTTGAGTATTAAACTCAGGATTTTCTTAATCTGATGAAAAAACCCTGAATGAGAACACAAGGATTGTGAGCTATCCCTGGCTACAGGTGAAGCTGTGATCCTTTCTTTCTGAGAACAAGTCTATCATAAGACATCTTTCTCCTAGGTAAATTTGCTGTCCTCTTTTCAACAATTACACACATCTTCATCATATTACCAGGAAAAAATATATTAGTATAGAAAGACTATTCTCTTAAAGGAGCAAGAACATGTGTGGCAAAGAAAGCTACTAGGAAACAGTTACTTTGGGGGTTTAGTGCATCATCTAAATTCTTAGTTGACAGGGTAAAAGGAAGAAGTAACAAGGTGAATGATTTCATTCTACGTGGATCATAAATATTTTCCCAGATTTTCTTAAGCTGAGTTGGCCTTTCATGAAAACTGCATAAAGAATGACTCAGTGAGAAACCTCAAAAGACTTTTGATATATGATTTATGTTAAGGCATGACTTTTTTTTTTCTGTAAAAACCTGCCTGGTAATAAAATCTTCAGATCCTTAATTTCTTCTGCAAATCAAGTTACCCAACCATCTTAACTTCTTCTTTTATCTGAAAAGTATAAGTAGTTTGCATATGTGGTATTTCAAATGTGAGATTAGAGTTTATTAGAGGTATCTAAGAACTGAAATAAACATACTTTGCACTAAAAAGATACTTGAGTGTTAGCATTTTACTATGATTGTTGTTAATTTGGGCAGAAATTTCTACCTCAAACCTCTCTATTTGAATAAAGAATTATTATGTATGAAAGCAAACTACCTCTTTAAGATGAATTCCATACACATTTTGATATATTAATGCAAATCAGTTATGTGGTATGATCTAAGTATATCTTAATTACTTCATTACAATGTAAGTATATAGTAAATTCTTGCATTTCCCAATAGGTTTGCAATTCATTTCCAGTTCTGCTTATTTTCCAGGATTTCATAATATTTTTTTAAAAAGTTATGGTTTTATTAAGAGTTATCTTTTGGGGAAAATAAATGAAATTGAATACTCACTGATCATTACAGTTCCTTAAGGTATTATTATTTATAATTAAAAATTCACAGTAGGCAGGTAAAGAGTTTATAGACATTTATACAATTACTATATTAATCAAGTCCCTTATAGCTTACTGAATACTCACTAATTTCCAGTGCTGTTTAAAACCATGACAGTATCATTTGAAAAACAATTTAGTATATTTCTTATTTTGCTTGAGTATGCATGGAATAAATAGAGTGAATTTGTTAATTGATTCTGGTTTTTATATTACAAACAAAAGAAGAAAATTTAAAACAATCCTGTGAGTAGAAAGGCAATACAAAAGGCAGAAAGATGAAGGAAATTCCAATTTAGTCATACATTATAAACTGTTCTGTCTTAACATGAACATGGATACCATCATCTTCCAGGTATAGATAACTTGCATATGCTACAGGTTAAAACTGATCTTGACATACTTGTATGATCTACAGGCATCTTGAAAGGAATGAATGTTGTAGGGAGAGGTGTACCTTGGTAAGAGTGTGTAGGTGAAAGATTAAAGCTTTGAGTATAATCTTCAATGAACTTGCCTCAGTGGGTTTAGAGATGGGAATTAGTTGGGCATGTTATCAGGATTAGATCTTGGCATTGTGTATTTTAGGAAAAACACAGTATCCCTATAGTTTTGGAGGTATTTGCACTTAAAATACAAATCAATGATAAATATTCATGATCACTGGAGAAAATCAGTTCTTCTCCTTTTATGTCTCTTTATGTACTTTGCTAGCAGTCCAGTATTCACATTTACTCATTCTTTAAACCTTTAACAGTATTCAGAATGTGAGTTCCTCTACTTCAGTACTGTGTTCTTGTGTTTGCCAGACTGCTTGACCATTCTGGATCATTTCAATTTCCATTTGAATTTCCAGATATTTTAATACTTTCTACAGAGAGGCCAGTGGGTATTTATGCAAGAATTGCACTTAATCTCTCAATGAC